TATATATATGTACGCATGTTTGTATGTATCTATATATGTATGTGTGTATATATATATCTATATATGTATGTATGTGTGTGTATATATATATATATATATATGTGTACGCATGATCCAGGTACTGGCAGGAGGCAGGTCTTGAACCCGGTGTTGCACTGCTTGCACCCTGCAAGCGTGCACAGAGCCACCGCACCACCAGCACCTTTCACACTCAGAGCATTTCTCCGGGCGCATTTATCTTTATATTTATGCTGATTTGACTTTAAAAGTGTATGAGTGGTAAGATTTGAAGCAGCAAACCTCAGATCCAAAGACAGCTGTCTACACCATTGAACCACAAGCACCTGTGACACTTTGAGCCTTTCTCCGGGCGCATTTGTCTTTTTATTTTTGCCAATTTGACTTTAAAAGGTAAGATTTGAACCAACAAACTTGAGATGCAAAGGCAGATGTTTATCCCACTGAACCATGAGTACCTTTCACATTTAAAGCCTTTCTCGGGGCGCATTTATCTTTTCAGTTTTGCTGGTGTGACTAAAAGTGGTTTGGTGTTAATATTTGAACCCACAACCATGAGATTTGAGAGCAGCTGTCTACCAGACTGAACCACCAAATCTTAATGCACACAGCATTTCTCCTAGTGCATTTATATTTTCAGTTTTGCCGTTTTGACAAAGTGGTTCTGTAATAAGATCTGAACCCACAAATCTCAGATCTGAAGGCAGCCGTCTACCAAACCTTTGGGCAGAATCTAAGAAATTTATAAATATCCCCGTCACTCACACTAACATCCACGAGCTTCCCCACCTCTTCCATTACAGCCATGTTGTTTGTTAGTTTGTCTGAGGTTAGCTCACCCTGAGTTACATTTATTCATGGGCAAAGCCATCATACCGTTCACATAAAATATTTGATAATGTTCTTATAGAAACAGTTCCTGAATGTTGTTCATACTGTACAAGTGGGTAAGGTTGCAGTAGACCTAGCCCATTACTGGAGTTTGGAGTAAGTATTTTAAGCTATGTCTTAAAGACATAAAAACATGGATGACCCTTAATTGTCTACTTTTGAACACAGACAAGACTGAGGTTTTGGGTTTTGGACCTGAGCACCTTAAGAATTAATTTTTCAGCCTTCCGCCCTTCTTGGATAGCATTAATCTGGCCTTCAGCTCTAATGTTAAAAATCTTGGTGTTATTTTTGATCAGGACATGTCTTTCATCCCCCACATTAAAAACGTTACTAGAACTGCCTTCTTCCACCTGCGTAATATCACTAAAATTATAAACATTTCATCTAAAAATGATGCAGAAAAACTGGTCCGTGCATTTGTCGCGTGTAGACTGGACTATTGCAATGGTTTATTATCTGGGTGTCCAAATAAAACATCTTCAGTTGATCCAAAATGCTGCTGCCAGAGTCTTAACTGGAGTTAGTGGGAGAGATCATATTTATCCAGTTTTAGCTTCTCTCCATTAGCTCCTTGTGAAATCCAGAATAGAATTCAAAATCCTACTTCTAACCTACAAAGCTCTCAAAGACCTAGCTACATCTTATATTACAGCCCTTATTGTTCCATATTTTCCTAACAGAGCACTTCACTCTCAGGCTGCAGGTTTACTTGTGGTTCCTAGAATTTACAAAAACAGAATGGGAGGAAGATCTGTCAGTTATCAGGCTCCTGTCTTGTGGAACCAACTTCCAATCTCTGTCCATGAGGCTGACACATGATCCAGTT